TCCCATGGTGGATACAGTGGTGGATCCCAGTGGATCACGTGGTGGATCCCGTGGTGGATCCCATGGTGGATCCCGTGGTGGATCCCGGTGGATCCCAGCGGATCCCACATATCCCGGCGGATCCCGGCAGGTGCTGCGGGCTCTGGTGCGCCGGGAGCCGCCAATGCCCGGCGGGGCCGTGGCCGCGCTCGTCAGGACCCCCGGCATGAGGACGGTGTCGTGTGGGGTCTCCTTCGTCTGGTGCGTCCCGGCAAAAAAAATACCTTTTATTGGGGAAAAAACATTGTTGGGGGGAAAACCCCCAATATTTGGGGAAAACCCCAATATTTGGGGAAACAAACCCTATTGGGGTAAAATCCCCCATTTTTGGGGGGAAAAAAATGACTTTCTGGTTCAAACTCAAAAGTTCTGGGGTAAAAAAATCTCTTGGGACCAAGCTCAACCTTCTAGGCCAAAGTTCTGTCTTTGGGGACAACCTCCACCTTTTTGGGGTCAACTTCCACCTATTTGGGGTCAACTTCCACCTTTTTGGGGTCAACTTCCACCTTCTTGGGGTCAACCTCCACCTTTGGGGTCAACCTCCATTTTCTTGGGGTCCATCTCCATCTTTGGGGACAACTTCCACCTTTTTGGGAACAACCTCCACCTTTTTGGGGTCAACCTCCACCTTTTTGAGGTCAACCTCCACCTTTTTGGGGTCAACCTCCACCTTTGGGGACAACCTCCACCTTTTTGAGGTCAACCTCCATCTTTGGGGTCAACCTCCACCTTTTTGGGGTCTCCGTTTTGGGTGGTTTCGGTGCTGATCTGTGGGATTTTGGACCAGGTTCTCCACCAGCTTCGCCTACTACGGGCTGGCCATGGACCTGCAGGGCTTCGGTTTCAACGTGTACCTGAGCCAGGTGGTGTTCGGGGCCGTGGACATCCCGGCCAAGCTCCTGTCCGTGCTGGTCATCTCCTGCCTCGGGCGGCGTCTGGCCCAGGGAGGCTCCTTGGCCATCGCTGGACTCTGCATCCTGGCCAACATCTTCGTGCCCAGCGGTGGGAGAGGGACACGGGGAGAGAGGGAGGAGGGAGGGGTGGAGGAGGTTGGGGGACAAAGGGATAGAGGAATGGAGGGATGAGGATGAAGGGATGAAGGGATGAAGGACAAAGGGATGGAGGAATGGAGGGATGAGGATGGATGATGGATGGATGGATAGATGATGGATGGATGGATGGATGGATGGATGGATGGATGGATGATGGATGATGGATGGATGGATGGATGGATGGATGGATGGATGATGGATGGATGATGGATGGATGATGATGGATGATGGATGGATGGATGATGGATGGATGGATGGATGGATGGATGGATGGATGATGGATGATGGATGGATGATGGATGGATGATGGATGGACTGATGACAATGGGATGGAAGGATGATGAAGGACCATCAGTGGGATGAGGGGTCACTGCAGGGGTGAGGGGTCACCAGGGGTACCCAGGCTCACATAGGGTGAAGGATGCTGGGTGGGTGGTCACAGAGGGGCCGATGGTGACGCGGCCGGCTGGTCCCCAGAGCTGCCGATGCTCCGCATGGCCTTCGCCGTGGTCGGGAAGGGCGCCTTGGCCGCCTCCTTCAACTGCGCCTACATCTTCAGCGGGGAGCTCTTCCCCACTGTCATCAGGTGTGTGGTCACCACAGCCCCGCCCCCACCTGTCCATCACTGCCCAGTCACCGCCCACGTGACAACCCAACCTTCAACCCAAACTTCCTTCATCCAACCTTCATCAACCCACCCTTCATCCACCCAAACTTCAACCCAGCTTTCATCCACCCAACCCCAACCTTCATCCATCCAACCTTCATCATCCCAACCTTCATCAACCCAACCTTCATCAACCCAACCTTCATCAATCCAACCATTGACCATTCCATCCATCATCCATCCATCCATCCATCCATCCATCATCCATCCATCATCCATCATCCATCCATCATCCATCATCCATCATCCATCATCCATCCCTCCATCCCTCTCCCCCTCCCGTTGTCTGTCCCGGCACAGGCAGACGGGGATGGGTCTGGGGGGCACCATGGCCCGCGTGGGGGGGATGGTGGCCCCCCTGGTGCGCATGGCGGCCGACGTCACCCCGGTGCTGCCGCTCGTCATCTACGGGGCCGCCCCCATCGTCTCTGCCGTGGCCACCTGCTTCCTGCCCGAGACCCGCAACGTGCCCCTGCCCGAGACCGTCAAGGACGTCGAGCGGCGGTGAGGAACCCCCAGGACCTCCTGGGACCCCCCAGAACCCCCCAGAACCCTCCCAGAACCCCCAAACCCTTTCAGGGGGAATATCCCTGGTTTGGGGTGGGATTGGTTCTTGGAGGAACCCAGGAGCTTTGGGGTCAAAAAGGGATGAAGAAGGTTTTGGGGTCAGGTTGGAGGTGTGGGGTTGGGTTGATGGTTTTGGGTTGGGATGAAGGTCTTGGGGATGGGATGAAGGTTTTGGGCTCTGGTTGGAGGTTTAGGGTTGGAGGTTTTGGGTTGGGATGAAGGTTTTGGGGGTTGGGTTGATGGTTTTGAGTTGGAGGTTTTGGGGTTGGGATGGAGATTTGGGGTTGGAGGTTTTGGGGTCAGGTTGGAGGTTTTGGGATCAGAAAAGTTTGAGAGTTTTAAGAAGACCTGAACAATTCGTGGAGAAAGCTGAAAGTTTTGGGAAAGGTTGAAAAACTCTGGGATTGGGAAGGATTAAAATCCGGGGAAATTTTGGGGAACAACAAAGAGATTTTGGGGTCCCTCCAGGGCGGGGAACCTCGAGGACGACGACGTCGCCGTCCCCCTGAGCAGCACCAAGAGCAAGGACGGCGCCTGAGGGGGGATTTGGGACCCCCTGGGGGGGATTTGGGA